TGAAAATGATTACTACGTCGAGTGTTGTAGTTATAGACAACGGCGTTTGCTGGAAATATAATTCCACCGTTAAGTAACTCATTTTTGACCAAAAGAATTCGTACAATTCTGAAAAATTGGTACAAAACCTTTTTGTAATATAAAAGTCTGGGAACTATAAGATGTATTTTCCCAGGATAATATGCCATATCTCAGGCGGGAATGAACATTCCCGAATTATACACAAAGAGCAGTGTGGAAGCTTACTGAATTTGATAGAATTCTGAAAGCGTAGCATAAAGAACTTAACTTTGTGTTCAATTCATTTAAATGGACGTTGCATTTAAGGTTTGACTGAATTGAAACACCTGAAAAGCTTTTGAAAGATCAAAAAATATTCCATTACGTGCTTTCTTTAGATCCATGGATGAAGCGTCCGACAAAAGAGAAATTGGCCAATAATTTTTAATTTCATTTTTGTTGCCTTTTTTGAAAAGCGGCTTTATCTTAGCTGTTTCAAAAACGTCTGGCAAAAATCATGTGCAAATGGATACATTAAATATTGGGAGCGCTAACCTTTTAACAAACAATACGAAAATTCATGTAAACCGGCCAAATATTTATTTTTTCATCTATCGATTATTTTGAGAATGTCGTAGGTAGACGTTTCGGAAACAAACATCGTGCCTAAATTTTTGGGGAATCGTCTGATGCTGAATTTTGTGACTGGAGGCCTTTACTGAGATCAGCAGCAATTCTCGAAAAGTAGAGTAATTTTTAAGAGACCAGCCACTGCTGCCGGATCGTTCACATTTCCATCGTTATCTTTTAAAACAACATTCTCTGTAAGATTTCTAGTTGATTTGGTCGACATTTTTACTACATTTCACATTGATTTTGTTTCAAATATGTATTATTTGAGTTAAAAATATCCTGATCATGTTTAATGATTATAGCCTGCCGTATGACTTTTCTTAACAATGATTTGTATTTTTTAAAGAAGGAAACCTTGAGATACGTTATGATGCTTAGAAATGAAAGAAAGAATTCGTTTGTTGTTACATGATGACCTGTTGCCTTGTGTAATCCAAGAATTGCCCCTCCGTGAAATATTTAATTCCCTCTTCGGAAAAAGAAAGTAAGTTTTAAAATTAAATGAGCGCGTTGAAAAAAAGAATTGTATTTATCGTTTATATTAACAGTATTGAAAACCGCGACCCATGGCTCTTGCAGCAAGTAATTGATGAATAATTCTATTTTACTTCTAGTACGTAATCTACTCATACGTGTGCTATTTATTGTGT